GCATGCTACTACCACCATCTGGAAAGAGCACGGGATCCTAGGTCTCTACCGCGGATTCGCCGGCACCACGCTCAAACAGGCATCCGCGACGGCGTTCCGATTGGGGACGTATAACATCCTCAAAGACTACGAGAAGAAACGAAATATCGAGCAAAACACTCTGGTAAACTTTGCAAACGGATCCGTAGCCGGTGTTGTGACTACGCTTTCCACACAGCCCTTTGACGTCATCAAGACGCGGTCGCAGAGCGCAAGGGGAACAAGTACCGTCGAAGCCGTCAAGAGTGTTTTACTCGACTATGGCGTTCGTGGATTCTGGAAGGGCACGACAATGAGGCTGGGGAGAACTGTGTTTAGCGGCGGAATATTATTCACGAGCTACGAAGCTGCGGTTAAGATTATCTTGCCGTTGTATCCTGGCGCGAAACAGGTCCAGACTGCATAAGATACCTTCCTACGTACCTAATCTCCTTAGACCAAGACAAAAAAAAATAGAATGTATATCTTCACAGCCTATACACTCACGGGAGCTATTTTGACTACGCCCTCCCATCGTACTCATCAATAACACTAACAGGTTTCACAAACCTGCCGAGCGGCTTATACTCCAAGTGGCCCAACCCAAACGCTTTTGGCCCCCCAATCTCAATCCCGCGCTGGCTCGTCCACCGCTCACTCGCCGTAACCCCAATCACAGAAACCAACAACCCATACCGATACTCTGGCGTCCCAATCGCCTCCCCATTCTGCGCATCAATCACAGCAATAAGATCCGGCACAATCGCCAACACATCCTCATTCCTCTCTTCGCCCGTCGGTCGATCCCCACTCTCCGGCACCCTCAACGCGGCAATATTCTCATTCTTAAACGGAATCTTAATCGTGCTGCCCGAGAACTCGGAGGTAGTGCCCTGAATAACAACCTCACCATATACATGCCCCATGTGTAATTTCCGACTAACCCCCACGATCTTGCCTTTGAACAAGACACGCCCTGTTTCCGCACCGCCAATCGCATCGATGATGCTTTCGGCAACGGTATCGATGCGATTTTCCTTGCGTGCACGCGCGACTTCCCGTCCGATGCGCCACGAAAGCGACACGGTATGCTCAACGGCCCACCTCTTGGTTTCCGCCCCACTAACCGGCGCATCTGCCGTGCCCACTGAACTCCCCATCTGGCTCAGTGCCGCGCGAATCACCTGCTCGACTTTGAGATCGCTGGCCGCGGTGGGCATGTAGAGCGTGTTTCCGTTTCCGTCGGCGACGGCGACAGGGGCGAAGACAATGGGGCGCTCGCCGAAGACGACGGGCGTGGTTTGCCATTTTGTGGGGTAGGCGCGGCCCATCCAGTCGGCGTCGAGGCAGGGGACGTTCATGTTTGAGGAGGCGCCGAGGACGAGGCCTTGGAGACCGTTTGAGCCGCCGATTTCGAGGGGGATGATGTGGGTTGCCGCGGTGCCGGGGTTGAGGGTGCGGAGGGTGGTTTGGGCGTCCATCATTCTGGGATTGTTGTCAGTTCTTTTTGTTTTTTTAATTTCCTTATGTGACTTTGTGGTGGGGATTGAGGAGATCAAAAGACTTACTCGTCTGCGGACAGCTTTTCGATACCCACGGTTGGACTGCCGGCGCCGCCTCCGCTGCCTACGAGAGCATCGTCTGCGAGGTCGTCTGGGTTGACGACGCGGACGGTGTGGCCTGAGCGAAGGATTCCTCGCACTCGAAGCATAGTTGAGTAAGGGGAGCCGCCGCCACCGGTACCCAGGATGTAGCATCCGATTGTGATCCATGCGAGATCTGTTTCTGAGATCCACCATTCGCGGTTCTTGATGTTGGGTTTGTAGGTATCGATGTCGACTTCAGTGACAGCATCAACTTCGTCTGTGTTCTCTTCGGTTGACGGTGCAGCAATGGCGGCACCGGTGTCCTCCAGACTGGTTTCCGACTCTTCTCCGTCTTTGGTCACGTCCAAGTCTGAAAAGTCGCCTGCACGGGAAAAGTCAAAGTCTCCAGCGGCTCGTACCATGAAGCGGGTTTTGTTAGCCACATACTGTAGAGGTAGATCTTCTACTTCCACAATTGCAACTGTATCCGCTGAGCCGCCTGCTTCAATCGTCTTTTGTTTAGCTTCAGCACAAATTTCTTCCAGAAGCTCCTTTTGGGACTGCTTTTCTGTCGACTTGACAGTATCAATGACGGCACTGACGCGTGCCATTGCGGCGCCAATTGCATTGGCTACACCCGACCATCGAGGCTTGATCACCCTGCTCGCACCTTTGAGCTCATCCGGTGCTATGACTGCGCCGCCGCCCACTAGAAGAACAGGAAGATCTTCTGGTGATGTCTTCATCGTATCAATAATACTCTCGAGCATGCGTTTCGTCTCCGTCTTGAAAGCCTGTACATCCCCCTCCTGAAGCTTCCCTCGCACCTTGTCCGGCTCACCAATAGCAACATCCGACGATGCCGCAACAACGTAGTCAGTCGCAGTAGCAACACTACCCCCAAATACAAGTGCCTTCTCCGGTAACTTGTAGCCCACTGATTCCGGTCCAACCTGCATTTTCCCCTCGACTCTCCGCACCAGACTGCCACCACCCAGCCCAATACTCTTGACATCGGGATACGAAAAGTTCATTCGCACCCCCGACAGCTCAGAGTATGCGGCTTGCTGTCTGGGAAAGCCGTTGGCAAGTAGTAAACCCACGTCTGTAGTAGTGCCGCCAACATCAACGACCATCATGGCTTCTTTTTCTTGCTTTCCCATTAGAAACGCCGCGCCGCGCATGCTATTTGTCGGACCAGACGAAAACGTGCGAATAGGCAACTGACTTGCTGCTTTGCCGCTGAGTATTGTGCCATCATTTTGCGTGATGAATACTGGGCAGTTAAGTCCTAACTTCTTGACTGGCGTCTGAAATGACGCAATTGTCTTTCTCGCAAAACTCAGAATCGAAGCATTAAGTATCGCGGCGTTTTCACGCTCCAGGAACCCAAGGTTGGCGACTGCCTTGCTGAGCACAATGTCGACGTCGTTGCCGAGTTCGCGTCTGATGATTTCCGAGGCGCGTTCTTCTTGCTTGTCGATTGTGTCGATGGGACTGAAGACGCCGTTTACGACTATGCTTTTGATTCCTTTTTCCTTGATGATGCGACATTGCTCTACGATTTCCTCCTCTTTGATTTCGGAGATGAGGCTTCCGTCGACTTCCAGTCCGCCCTTGAGGAGTGCGTAGTGTCCGAGGATGATGTTGCGGAGGGAGGTGGGCCAGTCAACACAGGGCGGTGCGTGCTTGCTGAATGGACCGCAGAGACGGATCACAGCAACGCGGGAGAGGCGTGTTCGATCTCGAGTCACGACTGCGTTTACGAAATGCGTTGTTCCTATTGTCACGCTGGCTACGGACGCTGGGTCCACGGACGCGGATTTGAACATTGTCGTGATGGCATTGGCGATTCCATGGCTAGGATCCGTTGTCGTTGGAGCCTTGTGCCTGGTGGTGTTTGTAAGCTCTCATGTTACTTGACATGGAACAAATTGGCTGCCCTGACTCGGGTACGTATACCGAGGTCAGTACATAGGGGACGTATGCCAAGCGAGTTGATTTGATGAGCGTAGCAAAGGAGAAGAAATATTACCAGGCAACAATACCGCGATCCTCATCATTCGACCTTGTAGGATCAATGATAACTCCATCTGTATTCGTACTATAATACAACTGTCAGTTTCGCGATACAGCTACATTCTTTGCGTTGCGGCGTAGCTCACCCGCCAACGTCAACACCAATTCGCAGATTCTTCGTTGTAGCCATGGCGAACAGCAAGACTCGTTTCTTTGGAGAAAGCGGAAAAAATTTAAATGTTGTAAAAACTACAATGGATGCTGTCGAATCACTTCATTTCTGACGTGACACTGCTCCCATCTGATAAGATGATGTGGATTCGTGTTGGCGGGGCAGACCAACCGTGCCACATAGCCCCGAAGTCGCACCTTGATCGTATTCGATTGCACAAAAATGGTCGTCCTTCAGCCGTCCCACCCTCGTGCATCTCCAATTCACCTCTCCACTCTCCAACCCATCTCCAAATAGACACTGAACAAACTCAATTCTAGGTACTCGCCATCATTGCACACAGCCAATCTCCTCTATCGCGGCTCTGTATCCAAACGGCCGTTTGCCAATGTATCGTATGTGCCCCTCCAACCCCACCTGCCGATCTTTTACTACATCTACATCGCTCGGATAAGAAGAACCCCTCCTTTTCCCCAAATATCCCATGCCACGTGCACTCTGAAAGCGACTATCAACTTATCTTTCCTCCTCCCACCCCCAGTCTTGCCTTTTGCTGGGGACAATGAGCATGGATGCGATATTAATACGGTTCTTGAAGATTCGGATACCCCCTGGGTAATTGGTTACATTCTGAAGTAGTATCGAGCACTGTTGCGGCGTATGCTTGATAAACGCGCGGTCAAGCTATCACTATTACAAACTTGCATGCTCTCATTCTACTTGTATTACATACACCCAGCGCATATACATACTCTCCAACTCTCGAAATCACGCAAGTACATCTTATATGATGCAAGCAAAACAAGCTTTCCATTAGTCCTCAAACCACACTCTTGACATCCAGCCATCCCCGCGCAATCGCGCTAATCGCCACGTACCATCCCGCTGTCTAGATAGTGCTTTCCCCCCCCCATCCCCTGCCCCATCCCCGCTGGAGTATGTACGGGACGCCACTGCACAAGGGGCGCGGCGCCGAGCCCTCCGGGTCCCGCAAGATAAACATCCTATACCTTTGATTCTTGTCTTGGATAAAAGATATACGACTCAGCTGTCCCTGCTCAGCTTGCTTTTTCCGCCATTTCCTCCTCAGCTCATCCCTCTCCCTTTCCAACCCTCCTACCCATCTCCTCACTTTCCCATCTCCCCACACCTTCAATGTTCAGATACTCCAATATAAAATAAAAATCCAAAGAATAAAAAAAAGCATGTCTCTCAAACACCGCATAACCTCCCTCCCCCAATCCCTCCGCCTAAAAGGCAACGAATCAAAACACGAACAAACAGACGCATGGAGCAACCGCGACTTGATCCCCTTGCCCCCGGAACGTCGAACATGGGGCTGGTTTAATTTCTTCGGATTTTGGTCCATCGGATCGTTGAATCTGGCGAATTGGCAGACGCCTAGCACGTTTTTAGGTATTCTGCTTCTTCCCTTCCCATGTTCACCTTTTCCTCCTCCCCCCAAATCCCCATTTCTTTATACACCATGTCTGCGGGGAAATGCTTTTAAAACAGTAGATAAGTCTGCTGACGCAAGGAAAAACAGCAATGGGGCTCTCCGTCCCACAATCCATGCTCATCATAGTCGTCAGTCGCATCCTGATCGCTGGCTTCTCAACGCTGATAGCGTGGGCGGGGCTAAAGTGGCATATTGGCTTCACAGTGCAGAACCGGTATAGTTGGGGGTTGAGGGGAAGCTTCATACCGCTTTTGCAAAGGATCATGTTGAATTTTATTTGGAATGCAGTACAGTGTGAGTTTCTTCCTTTCATCTCCAGTCCCAAAGTGCCGTGGGTGGGGAATTGGATGTGACTGTTCGAACTTTGGGGCTAATGAGAGATTTGTAGGTTGGAACGGCGGTCGTCTCGTCGCAGTGTGTCTGACAGCAATTTGGCCCTCGTATGCACGCATGCGGAATACTTTCAGCCCCAACTTCCCGACTACAACTGAGCAGTTCGTTGGCTTCGTCGTGTTCTGGTTCCTATCCACACCCTTCCTGTGGCTGCGGCCGGAGAAATTCAAGATCCCTTTCCTCGTCGTGTGCACATGGTGCAGTGTCGGCATGCTGGCATGGATGATCTGGGCCCTAGCCACCGCAAAGGGAGTAGGTCCATTGTGGAGTTCCGGTCAAAATGTACCGGCAGGCTCGGAATGGAATACCTCGTGGCTCATCATGTCGGGGATTAATCAGAGCATCGGCGGTTTGGCGGCGGGAATTACCAACGGAAGTGATTTCTCGCGGTATGCGCGTAGAAGAAGGTCCTACCTTTGGGGTACTTTTGGCAGCTGCTTGGTCACTGGTGTGCTAGTCTCACTCATTGGCCTCGTTACTGCTGCTGCTGGGCAAAAGATTTACGGGGAGGTATATTGGAACCCACCGGATCTACTCATGCGCATCATGGACAATGGAAACGGGTCGTCGCGGTCCCGCGCAGGCGTCTTTTTCCTATCTGCTGGCTTCGCTTTCACCGCCATGTTTGAGAACATCTGCGGTAATGCCGTTGCGGGCGGCATTGATCTCGCTGGTTTGTTCCCCCGGTACATCAACATCCGGCGTGGCGCAATCATCACCTTTGTGGCTGCGTGGATTGTTCAACCTTGGCAACTGATCAATCGCGCTACTACTTTCATCGCGGTGCTGTCGTCGTTTTCGGTTTTCCTGGCTCCGATCATAGGCATCATGGCTTGCGACTATTACATCCTGAGGAAGAGAAGGATCCGCCTGACGCATTTGTATCGAACAGAAATGTCTGAGTACTACTTCACCAAAGGATTCAACTGGCGGGCCATACCGGCATGGCTGTGTGGATGGGCTCCTACGATTGGAGGGCTGGTCGTGACGGTGAGGGGAGATGCGAAGCCACCACGGGCTTTAGTGGAACTTTACTACATGGCTTTCTTGATTGGTGAGTGACATGTTCCGCATTGGTACTGAAGACAGTTAAAATCGACTAACCGTTATCTAGGTTTCTTCATCAGCGGTATTTTGTTCTATCTGCTGAACCTTTTCTTCCCCGTTACCGACATGGGCCAGATGGATCCCATCGATGTATACGGTACCTTTACCTTGGCTGAAGCAAGGAGAGTCGGTGTTACGCCACTAGATGACAGCACGATAGTCGGAGAAGTGCTCGCGAGAGGATCATCGGGTAACGATTACAACTCCAAAGAAAAGGACGTGGAAGTAGGTGTGGCGGGCTGATTGGTGGAATACAATGATTGTAGTGATAATGGTTTCTGTAGAAGCCTTGATTAGTCTCACTATCAAAGAGTCTGAAGTCCCACATCATGACGTACGCGATTTGTCTCGACTTGCAATAAACCCTAATGTTACTGTACACTAGACCATTAACTTAAGACTTTCTCACCCTTGTTCCTAAACATTCCATGCCACTATCTTGTCGCTTTCCGAACAGAACTTGGATCGGAGTGGTGATTGCGCGCCGGAACTCAGAGCATACCACAATGGCTTCGGTTCAGTAAATACAAGGAGAGAGGAATACAGTCCCGCTTTCAATTTTCGTATGCGCTAGAATTTTGTCTTTCTTTATTCAGGCTGTTTCCTATAATGATGAAAAACGACTAGAGGAGCCAGCATAGGTTTAATCCATTGTCAATTCGCGCAATAGACTGAAAGTCTCAGATAATCCTAACGAAAAAAGACGTTAAGTAACTCAAAAACCATCGCGGAAACTACCGAATAAACTGCCGCCAGCAATAAAATAGTCTAGTTCCCGAACACTGATGTTAGTCTTGCCAATAGTGTCAAATGACGCGACAAGGCATAGCATGTACCGCCGCAGGTGCAAGCTTGCTACGTCATCGATTCCGGTAGCGCCGAGCGAAAGAACAAACAGACTTGGTACCCTTTTTAAAAAGAGTCTCAAACCCAAGCAAGATAGAACAAACTTCCTTCTCTTTACCGAAAAAGCCTTGGAAAAGATTAAGATCAATCGTCTTCCCAAAACCCATCATGGCACCAGGCGATCATCTCCCCGACTTCCTCACGAATACCCCTCTTGATCCTACCTTTGAAAAAGACATTCTGGACACGCACCTAATCTACGACTACGACGCGCAGGACAGCAACGGCAAGCCGGAGAAATGGCGCTATGAATTATGGTGCTTCTCCTCTGACCGGGTGGTGTACGCTATCCACGGGGGGCCCATGGCAGGCCGGATAAACTACCAACGAGCAACCTACCAATGCATACGTCGTGGAGAACTCTGGCAGATCAATTGGCTTGAGGAGACGGGTACTGTGGTCTCTGCAGTCTACGACATCAAGGAGAAGAAGATGACGACAATGATTGCATTTTCAGAAGGCCATTGGAAGAGATCCAAGGAAGCGTTGGGCGATAAGAGGAACAAGGAAGATCTGGAAAGGTGGAGGGGGCTGGCGGGTGTGGGAAATCAGACAGCAAGGTTCATGCTGAGTGAACAGGGGCGCATAGTAGAAACATTCAAGGGGAAAGGAAAGTTGGTGCCGATCGAGGAGAGTGATCCGCTGTTTTGAGTCGCTCTGGTGGTACGTTGGGTGGTCGGCGACAATTTTTGTGAGTGCCGGACGTGCTGCTAGATTCTCATTTTCGTTAGATAAAGGTGGCCGGGGTGCAAAGCGCATATCCAAGGTGTGTGAATCCGGAGTACCCGAGGTCAGTCGGCGACTGCTAGTGTCGCGGTCAAAACTTACGCATCCTGTGTGGCAGTGGGGAATGCAACCTTGTATAGGGTTCTGTGTAGCACGGACGAGGTACCACGATGCAATGAAAGCGGTGAGCCGTGTTGAAAGTGTTCGGCGACCATTTCGGGGGCCAGTTTGCAGAGCTGAGGACAGGCGTGATACAGTGACTGCATTGGAGGGGTGGGAGGAGTAATGTGATGTGTTGCGATTGCGAGGTCGCTTGGCGCCCGTGGGACATGGAGCCAGCCCACGGTTGGATTGAGGCTAAAGGCAAAGCTGAATCCGATAGTGTGGTCAAGCCCACGTCCCAGCCGCGTGGTTCTCGTCGCCGTCCTCGATCGCATCGCGTTCCCGTGCGAAGCGCCAAGCAAACTCTGAACATGCGGCGTTTGCACTCAAAGGCAATATATACATACATAATGTGGACTTGTCCGCGAGCGGGCCGTGGAGAGATGGGCCGACGGGGCCAGGAAGGTGTTGGTGATGGCTGTCTGTGACGCGTAGGGCCAAGGGGGGGGGGAACAAGAAAAGGCGTGCCCGGCGTGCATGCTCACTGCAAGTAGCAGATATGTACGTACGCACGTAAGTTGGGACTGCCAGAGGCAGTCGAGGGCAAGGCTAGCGAATGGTTTGTGCAAAGGACGCCATGCTGTCGATCCGCCGCCCCACGGTCCGTCAGAGGCTGCGAGGGAAAGCGAACTGGTAGAGGGGCCTGGCTCTTATCTTGCATCCGTAGCGGGAGCCGAGCGCAACGGCGGTGCCGGACAGGGCCATGTGGGGTAGTGGGTGTGTAAGCGTGTCAGCTCTGGCGTGGCATGTACTCAGCGCAGCGAGGGGCCAAGCGGTGCCAGGGCCATGGCGCTCACGGGATGCCAGCGTGTTCGGAGTCCGATGGGCGCTAGGCGGTGGGCATTGTGGGTGCTGGGGGTGGTGGTGGAGAAGTGGTTGTAGTGGTGGTGGTGGTTGTGGTGGTTGTGGTTGGTGATGGTGATGTCGTTGGGGCTACCGGTGAGAGCAAAGCTGTCAGGGCGCAGGCAGAAGCGGCATGGCGGCGTTTGGCGGCATAGCGGCATGGCAGCCCAAGGCAACGGCCGCATGACAGAGAGAGACAAGAATGGGGCCACGCCAATTTCCACCCGGCCTCAGCCTGGGGAGCCTTTGGCACAGTCGGCCTTGGGGCCAAGCAGGAAGACATGCACGACGACGTGCAGGACAGCGCAGGACACGCAGGACACGCAAGACCCCCCCGCCTCCAGCAGCGCACGACAGTCTGGCGCAGCAGTCTGGATGCTCGCGTTACATTGACAATCAATCTCGTACTACCCCATCCGGCTAGTCCCATGCGCCGCCTAGCCCATGCCACCGCAATTTGGCCCCAGGACGCCCCCGTGCCACAGCACCAAACGTCGGTATGACCAGGGCCCGCTACTCGCATACCTTCCCGGATGCTGCTCCATCAGCTGGTGCCAGCATGGAGCTAGCCAGCCATGATTATCTGCTTCAGCCCGCGGTCCTTCATGTCTTGCATGTCCCTTATGTCCTGCCCTACACCAGGTTGAAACGCTGCACCCAAGCTTGACACTCTCTCCAACCCGTCTGTCACGACTATACACATACATACACTACGCATACTGCGCACATACTGCACCAATATCGCCCACAATGGGTCGCCCGGTCTTTACATCCCGCGATAACCTCGCTCTGCTCCGAAGCTCGGCCTTTGAATCTGAACATGCCTGGTTATACGACACTTCCTACATGCAACATGGAGCCGCTGCCTTGGAGCTCGAACACGAAATAGAGCAGGCCTATTCAAGTATTTCGCCAGACGACCTCTCCGACGAACAAGTGCGAATTATCAAGACGCAGATTACCATCCACCGAGAGCGACAAAGAGCCCTGCGCCCCCACCTCGAAAGTGGCAGCGACCAGATTGACGAGGAGGGCAATGAGTGCGTCTTTGTCCCCGCTCCAAACCAATGGGGAGCCAATGGCGACTTGGACGAGGAGAGCGAGACTCTCTCAGCAGTATGTAGCACCCTCGTTACGTACCATGTTTCTGTACATCCATGACTGACATGGTCCAGATCCACAACCTCCTCACATGGCAGACGTCCTACTCACCAATCTCACATGCACTGTACGATGAACTCCCCTCAACAGACATTCCTTACCATGCTCTTCTTGACCCATCTCTACCCACAACCACATTCCACCTGCACCGCACACGAGAATGGACCGGCTCGTCAGGCTTCCGAAAGTACATCTACAGTGCGCGCGACCACTCCGACAGGTACATGCTATACATGCTCGAGGCCACACATCGCGACGACAGCCAAGTAAATGCGGCAGACTTCTTCCGCGTCGCAGAGTTCCCCCAGCCATGCATATCAGTCCTCCTTTCCGGCATCGACAAGAAGCGCATGACCACCGATTCCTCCAAAGACGCTGCTTACAAGTCACGATGCATCCACCTCCGCGGCCCGTTTTCACAACCAGTCAAAGAGTACCCTGATAGGCAGCAAAAGATCCCGTGGTCTCCGCGACGATTTACCTATGGTGGCCGGCGCTTTGTTTGGAAGCAGGGGGATCCCAACGACGACGCTATGCCAGAGACATTGTACGAGTACCAGAAGGATTGGGCAAAGCCGGGCAGCAGAACGGGTAAGCGGTGCGACGATGCAAAGCCAATCAAGCTGGTGTGGGGAGAGAAGCGGAGAAAGGGAAAAGTCGATAGCTACACTATCCACTTCCGGGGAGGCATGGACCAGGTCTTTAGGGAGATCCTGCTAGCGAGCCAGATGGCCCGCCAAGTGTGTCTGTTCACGGCCATGGGCTGAGTTGATCTCAGCGCTGAGACCGCACTGAGCTGAACTTGTTGAATGATGACGCTGGATTGTCTTAGCGATGGGCGTTTTACAGGAACCGTGAGGCACGGTATAGATACCATTACTCGGCGTTTTAGACTTTTTGCATGGAACCTTGATTCCCACCACAATCAAAATGTATTCTATCCCCCCAATGACTTTGCAATGTCCTGTTTCAAGTGACTATGAGAGCAATGTTGTTTGCAAGTAAGTACATGCGTAGGTATTGACAACGGCATAATCCGTCTGACTCATGCCCAATATCTCCGTTGGAACCAACAGAGGCGTTTACCGCAGCATTACTGCAGGTAAGCTACATGATTTGCGACGCCTGCAAATTACACGGCAGCCTTGCTGACGTACTGGTAAAAAGGGCGCGGCTGCAACGACTGGACGTGATTGGTGGCCTTGTGGACAGGGCATATGGGTGTATGGAAGATGTGCGATAAGCTTTGCATGACATGATGGCGACCGGCTCATGGAACCCTCTTTAGACAAGCGACGGAAGTACGCGGCGATGTATTTTACCGCCTTCGTCGACGGCTGCACCAAGGGACCATCATGTCAGTAAGTTGGGAAGGAGCAATTACCCAATGCGTGCGGTTTGACTGTATTTGGCTGCCATGCTCCATCTTACATAACTGGCAGAGTCCATAGCAGTTGGACGGATATCACAAAGACTTCATTGACTGGTCTTTGCGTACCTACATCCATACAAACAACAAAGCCGCGGCCATCCCATTGCTCCCACCTGACCTCTGTCCTCAATACTACTGTTGGCCGGAACAGGCATAACCGAGGTCCTTTGTTCTAGCGGGCCCCTACTTCTTCGAGGACTATTCCCTTAGTAGCCATCTTGTCTTGGCCCCAACTACTAAAGTCTTACATACGTCTCCAGCCGACGCCCACCGCTTCGCCAAACAGCACCGACCGACTGTTAGCTCACCTACCAGACGGACCAACCGTCCCGCATATAAGCCACAGTAGTCTTCGTGGGCCTAGTCATCGCTCAGGGCGCACAGGGTTACATGCCGCAGAGCCAGTCAAACGTACACTGACGCACAAGAGGCCCACGTGCAGCGCTTACCAGACGACTCTAAGCACAACACTACCACTACAACAACTAGTCGTGCGGCTCCCCCATTCGCAGAAACACCCCTCAGCCATGGCGTCAAGTCGCAGCACCTCTCTACGCGAGGCGACACATTCCTTCTGCAGCGCCCTCCTCTCACCTCCCCCGCCTTCAGACCTGCTGTCAAAGTACTTTAGCAGCACGCCCAAGATCACAGAGCATGGACCTGAATGGGCGCGATCGCGACTACCTTTTCTGGCCAAGACTTTTTCTGGAAAACAAGGATGTGAGGAATACTTCCAGCTTATGTCTGGTGTGCTGGACATGTCGCTCCCCAGTGACGCGTTCCCGGGTAAAGAGGGGTTCATTGTAGATGCAGAGGCAAACGCGGTCACTGTAGTGGGCAAGGGGCGGTTTGCCAGTAAGAAGACGGGAAAGGCGTGGGATGAGCAGTTTATCCACAGGTTTAGTGAGTTTGATGAGCAAGGCAAGATTGGTCACTGGGAGATTTGGGCGGATCCGCTCAGTGCTTGGGAAGCTGTTGGCCCGTAAAGGTTAGATGATGATGGTGGCGATTGCAACGGCTTATTATTGCGCTGAGACTTGCCAGCATGACGAATGTGGTAAACGACTCTATACAGAATTCAATAGTCAGATTGACTACACTTCGATGCATATGAACGGATCGCGGAGTCCAATGCCATTAGCGCCTCGCTTCGTAAATGTGGGTCCCCATCGGCATCTTTTGTGCCTAACCTCCGAACCCTTCAACTTTTCTTCATCCACGTCTCTGCTTCACCCACCGCGACACCAACATCGCGAAGCACCACGCCTGTCACCTGGCATATCCAAGAAACCTCCATGAAGCTGGAGGCTAGAAACTGATAATGATGTCACACAATTAGGCTCGCGCTAACCCAATAGCCCTGCCCCCAATGCCCACTGTAATAGGTACGTTTGAAACTTTTTTCTTAACTACAACATGCGCGCGCATGGAAAACAGCTCAAAAGATGATATGTACATCGACCATATAATACTTTAGGAAGAGCCGGAAAAGGTATGGCTAGCATCGACATATGCTACGCTGTCGCTGCTTATAACTTGGTCTCTGAAGAGCTTCATCATTTTACACGTAATCTGGACTGTTTTGTCTTAGGACTTGTTGCTGATGGTATGAAGATTAGGTTTTGGCACTATGTCTACGACATGACTCGATTCGAGGACTCACGCGTGATTGCGTGGTTGGGGAAGTGCGCGTCACGGATGATGCGTTGAATAAGGATTGCAGATGTAGGGGAGCGACCAGGAGGAAAGGCTGGCGCTTGTGCAACAGCGGAGTAGCTTTTCTATGGAAGCTATCAGAGTTGTTTCTGTGGCATGTTTGCCAAGCTATCCCAGTCGAGCATCGCTGCAGCATCTAGCTCGAGTGTCGATGTAGATGACATCGTCTTCTCACCGAAACTCATAACTTCTGGCGTAGTCTGAAAGGAACCTGAGATAGCTTGAGCCGGCTCATATCCAGTCCAAGGCTGAAAAAGCCCATTCGCGTCGAGGCTGAGCTCCTGATCTATCGTAAACGACTGATCCTGAGGCCCCGTAAGATCATCAGCATTGAGCATCTCTGCATCCCCTCCAAAATCAATCAAATCATTAAAATCAAAGCTCTCACCACCCCACGCTTGCTCTCCCATCTCCCCAACCCCACACCTCGCTTCCTCATCCCTCCTCTTCCTCTCCCCAACCACCCTCCCCACCCACTCCCTAGGCGTAACCCCCATCCTCCCCTTAAAAACCCCATGAAAATACCTACTCGTAAACCCCACCTCCCTACTCAACTCCCCCAACCTCAGCTTCCCCTCCTCGCCCTTCCCCACCGCCTCCTCAATCCTCTCACACGCCCTCCTAACCGCCTGCCCCTGCCTATCTTCTACCGCGGCGACGTTGGGCTTGCACCGCTTGCACGCGCGGAACCCCGCTGCCTCGGCTTCGTGGCTAGCGTTGAAGAAGAGGATGTTTGCGCGCCGGGCGAGCCGGGCTGGGCAGGTCGGGCGGCAGTAGATGTGGGTTGTGAGGACAGCGTAGATGAAGGAGGAGTGGGAGAGGGGATCGCGGGTTAAGAGGGCTCGGTGGCGGGAGGTGGGGGTTGTGTAAGTGGGCATTTTTTTTGGGAATGTTGGTGCCGGCTGGTCGTGTTGAGGTGGGGTTTTTTATGAACGGGGGGTTTTAGGGGGTGAGATTTTTTTGAATTGAATTGAAGGAAAGAAGACAGTGGAGTTTTTGAGAGAGAGAGAAGGGATGATTTAAGTGAGTATTTTGGATGGGGGGAGGCAGGTTTATTAGGAGGTGTAGAGATGATGCCTAGGTAAAAGGGTTATCTGTGTTCTGATTGGTTACTTTGAGAGCATGTATGGGTGGGGTGGCGCATGTTAGACCTTTTTTGTCGACTGGATTTGGGAGGGTTGAGATTTACGTGAATAAGACGTCAGGAATTCAATGCAACGACGGCTTGTTAGCATAAGACCATTTGCAAGATGTAGGGGGGTGGGTAGGGTGGCTCCTTCCAGTGTGTATGTACTGACATGCTGGAAGAGGCAAGCACGATGAGAGTCACATCTGAGGCTCACCAAACTTTGCTTCCAATCTACACATATCCTTTCAGTCTGATATTCAATATCGTAAAATCACATCCATTGTAGCCGAAATGGCAGATGCCCCCAACACACTCGCACAACCTAGCATCGCTGCACTTCCACCCCTAACAATAAGACAACTGGGATCCGGCCAGGTCCTCATCGATCCCAGCTCAGTCGTAAAAGAGCTCATCGAAAATGCCCTGGATGCCCGCGCAAAAAGCATCTTCGTTGATATCACCGCCAACACCATCGATTCTGTCCAAGTCAAAGATGACGGCCACGGCATCCCGAGTGAAGACCGATCTCTTGTATGTCGGCGTTACTGCACGAGCAAAATCAGAGATTTGAACGATCTGAGAGAACTAGGGGGGAAATGGCTTGGTTTTCGCGGTGAGGCATTGGCAAGTATGGCAGAAATTAGCGGCGCGTTCAGTGTGACGACGAGAGTGGAGGGTGAGCCTGTTGCTGTGAGGTTGAAGTATAGTCGAGATGGGGAGCTTGAATCGTGAGTTGCTCACTCTACAATTTGTTATGCGAGTATTTGAGAGACTGATATGTGTAGCGTTGCACACGATTCACATCCCGTTGGCACGACTGTCAAGGTAGCGGGGTTCTTTGAGCACATACCTGTTCGGAAACAGACGGCGGTTAAGAACGCGGCGAAGTGTTTGGCGAAGATTCGTCGATTGATGCAAGCGTATGCTCTTGCTAGACCGAGTATTCGATTGAGACTTCGCATTCTGAAAGCTAAGAATATTAATGGCGACTTTAGCTATGCGCCGAGGGCTCATGCTGATGTTGGAGATGCTGTGTTGAAGATCTTCGGCAAAGACTGCGCTGCTCAGTGCGACTTCACTACTGTGGAAGCCGATGGTTTCGAGATTCGCGCTTTCCTGCCCAAGCCAACAGCGATATGGTCGAAGATTTCAGGCTATGGCAGCTTTGTCGCGGTCGATGCACGGCCGGTGTCGAACAATCGTGGGACTATCAAGCAGATGGCTCATGCTTACAAACAACGACTTGGGAAGATAAACCCCTCTCTTGTAGGTTTTAGGGATTCCTTTTTCTGCATCAACATTGTCTGTCCGCCTGGAAGCTACGATCCCAATATCGAGCCGGTTAAAGACGACGTTATGTTTGAAGACAGCGATATTGTTTTGAGAGTCTGGGTAGAGTTGCTGGACTCCTTCTATACTGAGGCAGTGTTGAATCTCGATGATCATGAGCTGTCGTCGTCTTCCCAGCAAAGCTGCCAAGTTGAGGCACATGAGTTAGTTGATCAGTATCGGAACGAGGCCACGTCTAAGTCACAAAACACGAGTGATCAGAACAAGGCATCAGTTCCTGCGCCACAGCCAAGGTGGAGACACAGTATGTACGGTATCGATGAAGAGGATCTGGAGTTTTTGCAGGACGACCGTACTCCGATCATTGACGAAGAAGAGGGACGTCACGCCGCAGAAGTATCTAATCCTTGGACTATTGCTCGGATGAATACTGTGGTCAAACCCAGAGGATCCGCTAGCAATGGGCAACTTTTCAGTCCAGCAAAGAGTACTGTAAATTGCGATTCAAGTTCTAGTCCTTCGAGGATACCTGCGACACCTGATCGAGTGGTTTCTGCAGAGCCTTTGACGCCTCAGACATCTTCGAAGGCGAATACGGTGCGATCATCGCTTGACGATGAACTTGAGCGTAGCATACAACGCCTACCTCCGCCGTTATCGGTAGCAAGAAGTATTAGTGACTGGGGTTTGGGTCGCCGGGGAGGCCAATCGATCGATGGTACAGGTACATGTGTTTCGGAAGGAGAGGCACCCAGTTCTGTCCTGCGGTCTGAGATCCAGGCACCAGAATCCTGGACATCACCATCGAGTCAATACCGGAATATAGCCCCCAGTATAGCTTCTCCAGAGAAATATCGTCCTCTAGTTCAAAACCAACTCATAGTGAGGAAGACTACTCGTCAAAAGAAAAGCAAAGACGCTACAACAGCATATCTCCCGACAGGTAATTCACAAAGGCGCTCAGCAGAAGCACGAGAACAAGACGGATCAAGCCGTCTTTCTCAGGCCAATAACACTGATATCCGAGATTTCTTTGGCCAAGGAAGCGAGATTGAAGATATCCATCCCGTCCAGAAACCATCTTTCACACCAATCAATCCGCGGATCCATCAAAATCAACCCAGATCCTCAACCTCTGTCCCCATCTATCACATCCCCTCTTTTCCGCAAAACAATAAAAGCAAATCACACGGTATGCCGCCAGCATCCCACCTCACAGCCAACCAACCCATATCCACCACTTCACTGAGCAAAACCCCCACATCACCTCCCCCACCGTCTCGCACCTCACCACCCGCCCAACCCACCGTATCCCGCCACCTTAGCGCCGACTCCATAACTTCTTTCTTTCGCATTCAAGAAGAAAAGGCAACTACCCACTCATCCCAGCGTCTCACTCGCATACCCACAGCGCCGCCGCACGAGCAAGTTCCATCCTCTGCACACAACCTAACACTACGTCTCACCATGAACATCCCATCACTCCTATCCCTAGCACGAATCTACCGGGAGACGGCACTAAATTGGAACTCGGTGGCGGAATCTGCGTATCGCGGATTTAGTACGCAGGTGTCTGGGGAGCGGATTGCGGGGTGGGTGGGTCGGATAGATGGAAAGCTTAGTTTGATGCATGAAAGAGCCGGTGGCGCGGATGAGATAAGGGTGGTTATTCAAGAAGGGGTGAAGAAGGGACTGGAAGGGATTGAGTGGGAGGAAGAAGAAATGTTGATGGATCTGTAAGCACATCTTCTCTCTCTCTCTCTCTTATCAGGAGATATCAGGCGAAGGAAGAGGAGAAGGAAGGGACGGCAGAGAAAATGAATTAGGGATATCACAATTTTCATTTGAGCATTTTTTCCCCTTCCGTAACGTCTCTATAGGATCGATTTAAACATCTCTGAACGCCACATCCTCGGGCAACCTAAAACTCGCACAAAACATCCTCTTCTTGGGCGCTACATCGCGTACATCATGCACATACACATCTGCCATACCCGGCGTGATTTCGTACTCAATCTGTCTACTTATTTCTTCGCAAATACCCTTGATCTCAGCTACGTTATCGTCGCTCTTTGTAGAGAAACAATGGACGTGAATCATAGGTAGCTTCTGCTCCGTGTGGGGAGCTAGCATTTTCTTGATATCAGCGGCAGGTAAGCCGGGGATATTGGCGTAGAGGCCGATGAAGGAAGGGAGGAAAGTAATAGCGGAAGCAGGCAAGTTCATAACATAGTGTGCGAAGAAGCGGGGCCGAACGAGCGTCTTGATGGGCTCTGGTTGCTTGTTTTCCTGGGGGTTGCTGCGGGAGAATTTGGTTTTTGGGTAGATGGGGATGGTGTGGCGGGGGTCTAGGACGAGGAGGTGGGCAGATGCTTGGCGGATGAAGGCGCCGCCGTCGATGTTGAAGGGGCGGACAAAGTCGCCGACTTTGTTGATTTTGATGTTGTTTACGAGCGAGTTGTACGACTCCGGGTTGAGGTCGTTGGCCCAGACGAAGCACTTTTTCTTGCCAGAGGGGATGGCAAAAGGGCCTACGCCTGCCATGACGTCGCATATGGCCTCGCCTTCCTTGAACAAGTTGCAGAGGCGCTCATGCTCGGTATGCAGACGTGTGTTCCAGTAGACTTTGGCAAAGTCAAACTTGAAGGTGCAGCCCTGCTCGCGGAGCTCGACGTTCATGTCGTCAGGTCCGTACAGGACCTCGTATTGGAATGTGCGAAAGGCATTCTCTGTACCCACATTGTCCAGCTTGTTGATGACGGTCTTGACCATTGGGTTCTTGTCGGCAAGAACCGCGGCAATGAGGTACTTGTATGGCCAGTATCGCTCACGCAGGTTTAGGTGGGCGACATGACCGGCGAGGGCAAAGCCCTGAGGGATTTCGTCGTCGTGCTTGGACTCTGGCGGGGGGATGATGGCGCCCGTGATCTCCGAGTAGGTGAAGTAGTCGTAGTCGAGGTGCAGCTGGTAGGGTATTACGCCCAATGTGCCGTCCTGCTCGAGATCGCGCAGCTTAGGGGACCATGTGGTTCGATCTGCCTGGCTTCAGACTCAGCACCCGGATATACCTACGACTTGCGCATGTCGGCTGACTCACCAGTGTGGATGACTTCCGGCCGCAGGAGCAGACACTTGACGCCCTTCTGCGCTTTGTCCACGTCAGGATCTGCCCTAATTGGATCGACGCGATTGTTCGGCAGAGTATCCTTGGCGGCCGTGAGTTCCTTGCGGCAGCGTGAAATGTCCTTGGGGTTGAAGATGCGGGCGGCAGAAGTGGGGATAGTCTTTTGGAAGAAACTGCGGTCGAGCACCTTCATGGCGCGGTTCACGGGCGGCGCGAACATGTCGTCGGTCGCCTCTTGGAGGGACATTGAAGCGTGCGACGGGGGCGTAGGGACGGTGGCGGGGGTGGCGTCGTGGTGGTGAGGGCGAGAGTGAATGCAGTGGTGGTGGAGGAATTATTTTGTGGAATGACGCAGCGTCAGGGTCCCCCGTCGGGCCCAGGTACCGAGCATGGCCCGTCAGGTGCCCCTCGGCCTGTAGATGCGAGCCAGATGATGTACCTGCAGCAATCTTCAGCCGCATCCTCGCAGCACAGCACCTGGCCGGCTTTGCTACGCCTAATTCTTTACACGTGCCAATTATTACAAAAGGGTGCTGCGGCCTGCTGAGTGGCCAGAAGTTCGCCGGGGCGGGAATGCAGGGTGCAAGGATCGCGTAATCCTAAGAAGTTGCTTGCTTGTCCCTGGACCGCGATTTCAACTCCCATAACAACACCACCCTATGTCTGTGGCTTCAACCACCTCCTTACCCGAAAAACAACATCCTCGCCCGCACACACACCCCCGGCTGCCCCAGTCGCCGCCCATGAAGTCTCACAGTCTCCGCCTCTGACCGCTGCTGCTGCAACCTACCTCTGCCGTTACCCTCTCCTTTCTCCCTAGTACATATACCCCGGATTTCCGCCTTCTAGCCCGCCCACTGCACGCCCGCCCGCCATGGCGTCCGGAGGAGGCGGCAACATCAAGGTCGTGGTGCGATGTCGACCCTTCAACGGGCGAGGTAAGCATTCCATAGGCGCCCTCGTGCCTTGTGTTGCTGTGGCTAACTGCGAGCAGAAAAGGCGCGCAATGCACAATGTATCGTACAGATGAAGGGCGATCAGACCATTCTTTCCCCGCCAGCAAACACCGACGTCAAGGGAAAGGCCGCCAAAGCCGCTGCCGAGGGCGTAAAGACCTTCGCCTTCGATCGCTCCTACTGGTCCTTCGACCGCGACGCCCCAAACTATGCCGGCCAGGACAACCTCCACGAAGACCTCGGCAAGCCGCTACTCGACAATGCCTTTCAGGGCTACAACAACTGCATTTTCGCATATGGTCAGACAGGCTCCGGAAAGTCGTACTCGATGATGGGTTATGGCGCAGAATACGGAATCATCCCCAAGATTTGCCAGGACATGTTTGAGCGAATAAAGGGCATGCAACAAGACAAGAACTCGACCTGCACCGTCGAGGTCTCATACCTGGAAATCTACAATGAGCGCGTGCGCGATCTGCTGAATCCCTCCAACAAGGGCAACCTGCGAGTCCGAGAGCATCCGTCTACCGGCCCCTATGTCGAAGACCTGGCTAAGCTGGTAGTCCAGTCCTTCTCCGAGATTGAGAACCTGATGGACGAAGGAAACAAGGCCCGTACAGTTGCCGCGACCAACATGAACGAGACGTCCTCGCGATCGCACGCCGTATTCACCCTCACCCTTACTCAGAAACGCCACGATGTCGAGACGAGCATGAGCGGAGAAAGAGTTGCAAAGATTAGTTTGGTAGACTTGGCAGGATCAGAAAGAGCACAATCCACTGGCGCAACTGGTGCGCGATTGAAAGAGGGCGCGGAAATCAATCGATCTCTGTCTACACTAGGTCGCGTGATCGCGGCGCTTGCAGACCAGTCGTCTGGGAAAAAGAAAGCACAGGTTCCGTACCGAGATTCCATCCTGACGTGGCTGTTGAAAGATTCTTTAGGAGGAAACAGTATGACTGCCATGATTGCTGCAATTTCTCCTGCAGATATCAACTTTGAGGAAACGCTCTCGACCCTTCGCTACGCCGACTCCGCCAAGCGCATCAAGAATCATGCCGTCGTAAACGAAGATCCTAACGCGCGCATGATCAGAGAACTCAAGGAAGAGCTTTCCAAACTGCGCTCCCAATTAGGCGGAGGTGGTGGAGGCGGTGGCGGAGCGGCAGGCTCGAATGGCATCGTGGAAGAACAGTACCCACCAGACACACCGCTAGAAAAGCAAATGGTTTCCATCACACAGGCAGACGGCTCGACCAAAAAGGTCTCCAAGGCCGAGATTGCGGAGCAGTTGACTCAATCGGAGAAGCTCTACACAGAACTGAACCAAACCTGGGAAGAGAAGCTGCAAAAGACAGAAGAAATCCACAAGGAAAGAGAAGCTGCACTGGAAGAGCTTGGCATCAGCATCGAAAAGGGCTTCGTGGGTTTATCAACACCCAAGAACATGCCGCATTTGGTAAACTTGAGCGATGATCCGCTTTTGACCGAATGTCTCGTCTACAATTTGAAGCCAGGTACCACAACCGTAGGAAATTCTGATGTCGACGGTCAGACTGCACAGATACGCCTAAACGGTTCGCAAATTCTCGCAGAGCACTGCCACTTTGAGAATGTGGATGGTAAGGTGACTGTGATTCCCCAAGAAGGTGCAAGCGTCATGGTCAATGGCGTTCGTATTGATAAGCCACGGCTCCTCAAGAGTGGTCACCGCATTATCCTCGGCGATTTTCACATCTTCCGGTTCAACAACCCACAAGAAGCGCGAGCTGAGCGCGCCGAAGTAGGGACAAGTCTCCTCCGGCAGACTGTCACTGCTGGCCAGCTCGGTAGCTCTCCTTCACCCGCTCCAAGGCCTGGTCACGACAGATCATACAGCTCAATCAGCGTAGCGAACAGCGACTTCGACCCCGACAGCCCAAGAGCAGGATCGCCTGCACTCTGGCAACGAGGGCGAGAGTCTGAATTTTCCTATGCGCGCAGAGAAGCTCTTACTGCATGGCTAGGGCCAGATAAACGCATTGAGAATTTACCAGACGAAGATTTTGAAGCGCTCTACGAAGATCTCAGCAGGCTGCGCGAGACGCGCAAAGCACGGCCGGAAAGCCGGATGATCAGCGATGAGGGCGATACAGAGTCAATGTCTTCATATCCAGTCAGGGAGAAGTACGCTTCTGGTGGCACTTTGGACAATTTCTCCCTTGATACTGCTCTGACCATGCCTTCTACTCCACACCAAGAGGGCAGCGAAAAGATGCAAGAAATACGAGAGGATATGCAGAGGAAGATAGATCAGTCAAGAGATGACTTCCAAGCCAGGCTGAAAGCTGACGAGGACGCCAAGGTGGAGTTGCAAGAGCTACGAGCTGCCAAAGAGGCAATGCAGAGGCAAATGAAAGCGCAAAAGGAGGCATTTCAAAGGCATTTGAAAGAGCTTGGACACGATATTCCGCTTGAGATAGATGAGGACCTGGAGATCAAATCGCAAAACGCACAAAAAGAACAAGACGCACAAGACGCACAAGACGAACGGCAGCTCGAACTGATACGATCTGTCCTCAAACAGTGGCGGCGACGGAAATATGTCACCATGGCAGAGACTCTGTTACAAAATGCTGCGATTCTCAAAGAAGCTCAAGTCATGAGCCAGCAAATGGACAAGCGAGTCGTGTTCCAGTTTTGCATTGTCGATGTTGGCCACACAGTCCCTTCGTCCTACGACTTGGTGAACATGGGCATTCCAGGAGAAGATGACGAGTACCTCGACAGCCAGTCCAAACCATGCGTTGGTGTACGCGTCATTGACTTCAAAAATGAGGTCGTCCACCTATGGTCGTTACAGAAGCTCCGCGATCGTGTACGGCGGATGCACCAAGTGCATCAGTACATGAACCGCCCAGAATATTTTCAACACTTCAACCCGGAATCGCCTTTCTCTGACCCATGTATGCCCGAGTTTACACGGATTGGCGATGTCGATGTTCCACTTGCAGCCGTGTTTGAGTCGAGAGTTCGAGACTTCAGCCTGGATGTAATATCGCCATACACCTCGAACCCCATTGGCATCATCCGCTTATCCTTAGAACCTTCATCCGCCGAGGCACCTTCAACCACACTGAAGTTCAATGTTGGCATGCATGAAATGGTTGGATTTTCAGAGCGAGAGGGAACAAAAGTGCACGCTGTGCTCTTTGTACCCGGCATCTCGGATGAAAGCGGCGCGACCACTACGACCTGGATTACCGATTTCAACGAAAGCCCCATTCGCTTTGAAAGTGTGCATAGCATGAGCCTTCCTTACCCAAGTCCACGCGACACCTTCCTCCGCATTTCTATCTTTGCCAAAGTCACCGACATCCACCTCGACATGCTGCTTAGCTGGGATGACATGCGCGACTCAGCCGAGAAGCCAAAGCAGAAGCGTCGCCATGCACGTCTGCCAGAATCAGAGTTCTACACAGAAGACACGCACGACATCTTCGCCCGCATACAGGTTCAAGAGATTACGGACGACGGTACCTACCAGCCGGTTGAGGTCACACAGAGCAGCGTCATGGACCAAGGTGTTTACCAGCTCCACCAGGGCCTCGCCCGTCGTATTGTCGTAAACCTTACTCATACTTCTGGTGAGACCATACAGTGGGAAGGCGTCAAATCTCTACGTATGGGTCATATCCGAATGGTTGATGCAGCAGGCAATTGCCCTAATTATGGTTCACCGGTCAAGGAAGTCCCAGTGGATCTTATTTCGCCACCCACTGTCCGAAACAACGCAGACGGCACAACAAATGTCAAATTCGTTGGGCGATGGGATAGCACTGCACACGCCTCGCAGATCCTCGACCGCGCGACAAAGGATAATTTCCGCGTTCGGGCCACCCTTCTCTTCGATGTCATGTCCTCGAAGCTCATTGAGCCCATGACCTTTTCTTTTGACCTCTTTGTGCAGATCCGTGGTCGATCATACATGCGTCCAACTTCGCTCTTTTCCCTAACCAACATCTGGAACACGGTCAAGATTGTTCATTCAACAGTCGGGATCTTCAGTGTGGCGATACGTCCAACATCTGTAAAGCGCGCAACAGATCTCTGGCGCATGAACACAAAGGACGACTATATCAAAGGTGAAGAGCAGCTCGCAGGCTGGACTCCCCGCGGTGTTTCATTAGTACGAGACTTCATCAACGTCGAGAAGCGCCGCCGCCGTGTTGCTGAGATAGAAACAGCCCGTTCTGTCCTCTCCTCCAAGGCCCTCAGCATACCCACATCAGCACTAGCATCCTCGAAAGACAAGCCACTAGACGATGCCCAGAAAGCACTCTTGCAACGCATCATCTCTCTGTGGAAAACTAAAAAGGCCCCGGCGGAGATCATCCTTAACTCGACAAACCTCGAGCCACCCACAAACGGCGCTGCTTTCGCACCACGTTCTTCTTCCCCCTCGCCAAGTCCAACGCCCAGCCTGACGGCGACAGTACGCTTCATACCCAAGAATCCAAACCTTATGAAGGCGTCGTATCTTCTCACACCAGATCCGACCAACACCCGCTGGACTCGACGATATGTGGAACTGCGAAAACCGTATCTGCACATCTACTCAACAGATGGTGACGAGATCAACGCCATCAACATTAGCACTGCGCGCATCGACCATTCTCCTCAGATTGCAAAGTTGCTCGGCGGAGTGCAGAATCAACACAGCAACAGTGCAAATGGAAGTGGAGGTGCGGGAGTGTACAAGGACGTCGTGTTTGCTGTTTTTGCACGATCAAATACGTACATATTCCGGGCAAGAAGTGAGCGGGAAAAGATAGAGTGGATTTTGAGATTAGACCAAAGTTATTTCAGTAGTGGAGAAGGTAGTGAGGAGAGTGCTTAATGACTAGAGGACTGTAGGGGGTGTAAAGGGTGACCCCTAGTGCGCGAACTAACGTCTATTTCTTGAACCTGATTTTGAAACAGCTAGTAATTTTTGGCTGTAAGATAGGATATTGTTTTCCTAACCTCGTCGGGCGTTTTCTTCATATAGGCTCTTTTTTTTTGGGATACCCAGAGCACAATTGCTCATTTGGCGCGATCGCTGCAGTAGAGATCGAATTAACCTTTATCGCTAAATGTACTAATAAGCGCGGTCCATGTATCGTTCCTGAACTGAAATGACATTGACGAATTAAAAGCATTGGCAACAAGAACCATATCCACTTGAATGATTCGACTCATGGTAAGGCTGCCCGACAGACCCTTCGCCGACGCACTGCCGAGGCTAAATAATAAATCGGTGAAGCTTACTCGTACAACACCTTCACTTAAGACTCAAACTCAATAGCAAAGTAGACGCACTATACGCGCGTGTAATCAATCTAAGGAACTAGTCTGAGCAGGAACCGATTGTGATCCACAATGGCAGAGGCAAGAAAAGAGAAGGCACGACATGAGTTGGACAATGAGAAGCTTGGACACTACCTCCAACAAGAGATACCTGGAATCAAATTACCACTGACATCAACAAAGATTGGCTATGGGCAAAGTAACCCTACATACTATGTTGATGATGCCGCCAAGAACCGATACATCTTGAGGAAGAAACCCAGCGGAGCCATCATCTCACCCGTTGCACACCGAGTTGACCGCGAATACAACGTGATGAAAGCTCTGGGCACAATCGATGGCTTCCCCGTCCCCAGAGTATACTGCCTATGCATGGATCCCTCCATAATCGGCACTGAATTCTACGTACGTTACCATGAAACAAAACCCACCATACAACTTAACCCCCAACTAACACCATGAACCCCCAAAAAAGATCATGGAATACATCCAAGGCCGCATAATCACCGACCCAGCCCTCTCAACCCTCCCCAAGCAAGACCGGCGTGCGGCCTGGAAATCCGTAATCTCCACCTTAGCCTGGCTGCATTCCATCGCCCCCTCCTCCATCGGGCTCTCCTCATTCGGCAAAAAAGAAGCCTTCTACGCCCGCCACTGCACCACATTCTCCCGCATCGAGGCGCAGCAAGCCGTCGTTCGCGACGTCGCCACCGGCACGCCGCTCGGTCGCGCTCACCCGGACTTCGACGAGATAGTAGAGTACATTCGGCGCCATGCGCCCACGGGCCGCAGCAGCATCATTCATGGGGATTACAAGTTCGATAATATCATGCTGCACCCGACTGAACCGCGTGTGATTGCGATTCTAGATTGGGAGTTGAGTACGATTGGGCATCCGTTGCTGGATACGGTCTACATCGTTAATCCGTATTGGAATCGTGCGAGTAGGGTGCAGCCGGTTCCTGGGGCGAAGGAGGGAGGGGGACTGGAGGTTTATGATGAGGAGAGGCTAGGGGAGAGCGGGATGCCGAGTATGGGGGAGGTGCTGGATGTGTATATGGAGAGGGCGGGGTGGGATCCGAGGAGGGAAGGATGGGAGGTTGCGAAGGTTTTTCATTTGATGAGGGTGAGTGGCTGTTATTTTCTTTGCATAATTTTTTTTTCATCGTTGTCTTTGTTGCGGTTGTGTCTGCTTTTTTTTTCTGAGGGGAGGAAGATGGTCGATGTAATGAGCCATCTTGAAGTGTGAGGTTTAAGCTTATGAGAACAAGTCTTGCTAACATAGTGATAGGGAAGCGTGATAAGCCATGGCATTCAAGCCCGTACTATCAGCGGCCAGGCGAGCAGTGAGTTCTCGTACGTGTATTTTGAGAATACCAAGCGAGGACTTGACGAAGGGATTCGCATGGTTCGCGAGATGAAGGCGAAGGAAGATGCAAAAAGCAGCTTGTAAAAAGACAAGAGAGAAAAGATAAAGGAACGACATGTGCATAGCTAGGGTCTCTTTCTGATTCTGTGATGTTTTTCACAATATCAACTGTGTATAGCTAAAATGTGCGCTGCTCTGTGTCACTGCTCTCACCCACTTACCTTCACCCTCCCCCTCCCGCTTCCGCTTCCGCTTCCGCTTCCGCTTCCGCCCTCGCCTTTTCCTTCTTCCCCGCGGGTAAGCACACTCCTCTTCATGTTACATCATGTACCACGTACGACGCACGCAACCCTCCTCTACTCCTTGCCCGCCTCCCCACCCTCTTCCTCGCCATCCCTTCCTCGCGCTCAACGGATACGCCCTCTCCGCGCCCGGACAACATCACCCCGAACTCACCTTCCTCTGTCTTCCCCCGTCGTCCGCCCCTCTCCACTCCACCATCCCCAAACTCCTCCTTCTCCATCCCACCCCAATCATTCCACTCGCCTCGAGCACACGCACCCCCTTCGCCCCCACCTGCCACTTCGCACTCCATTCCCTAGCCCCCTCTCTGACATCTGCACAGTGCACCGCATAACGGTGTAACCCACACCTCCAGCACCCACATTCCCAATCGCACCCTCATCCCCCGTAAAGGTAAAGCCGTTAAAGTCACTAACCCCAAACCGGGGCATCACCACCCGAGACTCCCTCGCTCACAAAACCACATCCCGAAAATCTCTCCCCCCCTCCCCCCAACGACAAACCCTACTCCAATCCAGACCCTCACACTCAAGACAAATTCTTTGTCAACCCACCAGTCAAGCCAAAACCTACCTGTCAAACCCACATCATCCAAACAAAGCCAAGCCGCCATATCCTTCCCCTTACGACACCCCACCCCTACCTATAACTCCAAAAGTCGCAAAACAAAAAAAAGAGAGAGAGAGAGAGATAGACACAGAGTCAAGAACACATGAACTCGGCACTATGCCAAATCGCATAACGCCCACCCCTACCCTTGCACCCATGCGCCTAAAAAAAGGGCTTGGTGACGTTGTGGTTGTATGCTTGACACAACAAAAGAGGATCTAGAAAAAAAAGGGAAAGGGAATGAGGACCCCTCCCCCCCCCCCCCGGTTTCCGTTGTCGATCACACAGCCTTTAAAACGTTGGGGGCACGGACGCTCTTTTTTTTTACCCTTCTATGTAATAGGTAGGTAGTAGCTAACACTTTTACTTACTCACTCACTTTATTCTCTGTACCCGTGTGTATACTACGTAAAGTGTCGCAGCATCATGTGCGTGGTAGTACTAGTAGCCCTGATGTATCGCTTACTTATCCTCCTAAAGTTGCCGCAAAAAAACGGTATGTGCGCTGCGGTGTGTGTGTGTGTGTGATTTGCGAGGAGTGGGGGGGGGAGGGTTTTGCATGCCAGTATTCCAAATCGCCATTGCGAATTGTAAATATCATTATTATTATTATTATTATTATTATTATTATTGTTATTTTTTTTGTTTCATAGTGTTTTGCGATTAATTGGAATTAATTTTTTTTTTACTACTGTACGGTACTGGGTAGGCAGGAGGAAGGACATGGAGGGGGATGGAGGAGATAGGTAAGCGCCCCCGTCTGCGCGTGCGCGCGCGCACAACGCAGCTTCCCCATTAACGATTTGGCCGAGCCCCCCCCCTGTTCGGTTTGGCCAGTTTTTGACGTCGAGGAAGGGTGGAGCTCCAGCCCGTGGGGTTGGCAGCGTAGGGCAGGTACGCGTGGTAAGGTAGCGTAGGGCAAGGGGTGCGACTCATTGCGCGTTTACGATAAGTGGGGGTAAAGTAAGCGGTTCGGAGGGGGGAAGGGGGGAGGGGGGTTTGTTGTTCGTGGGGCAAAGCAATTGGGGGAAGGAGAGGGCGAAGATTTGTCTCGGGATTTGTTTCGCACGTGTCCGAACTTGTAAGGGGGGTTGGTTTGCTGGGGTGGGATAAGGGAAGGGGGGCAAAGGGAAGGAACAGATTTGTAAATCGCAAAAAAAAAATCGTACGAGAAAAGGGCTTGGAGGGAGGGCTTGGAAGGGCTTGTCAAGTCTTGTTGCCTTGTTTCCTGAGGAAGCGGCGATCGAAGGCGGGTAGAAGCGCGCAAAGATGGGTAAAATGTAAACGGAACTATTTTTTTTCGAGATGGAAGGTGGGGAGATATCTGGATAGATTGAAAGACGTGTTCATTATTATTATTTTTGTACAATGAAAAATAAACTGAAAACGGGAAACGGGAGAAAGAACAATAAGAAAACATATGTGTATGGGAAGAGGCAACGAAATCGCGCGTATGCATTTTGAGTGTTTTTTTTGTCTTTCTTTTTCTTCTTCAAAGGAAGAAAAAAAATTGTAAGGGATGTTGGCTACATCTAAATCATTTCCATTGCCCATAAGGGCGACGATGACAACCGTATGTCGGGGTTTCCACGCTCGTGTTGAACCTTTTTTGGGGGGGGGGATAACCCTCGCCACAATCATCCATCGCCCTTGTCCTTTTTTCTTCGCGCGCGAAAGCCACCCTAACAAACCGACGCTCATCTTGCCCCCCTCGAAACCCATCAACGCTGACAAAATTGCCATGTATACGAGAGCCGCGGGGAAGAGAACCGGGAAAGAGAGAAAATAAAAAAAACACTGAAGGGAATTTGAGTGTCCAATTTCGCTGCCGTCTCCCCAAATTTTTTAGGATTTCTTGTGACGCCGCGCTATGCAATTGAAAGCAACACACAAAAGACAGAACAAAACAGACAACACAATGCAAAAGAAGCAGGTGAAAGACAGATGAAAATGGGGGGGGGGGGGAGAGGATGGGTTTGACAACGAAGTATTGTATGTCTGATTACAAGAAGTTGTTTTAGCACCAAAAAAATGCGCGGTCTAGAACGCCGGAAAGATACGCCCACCCAGTCCCGCAAAAAACAAAACGGGGGCAGAAGATCTAACAAAAGCTTCGAGACCTGCTGGCGGCTTTGAAAAAAAAACGGGGGAAATGAACAAGGAAAAGGAGAGAGAGAAAGGAAAAAAAGGAGATGGAGAGATAGTGAGCGAGACAGAGGGAGATGAAATAGCAACCAACAAGACCGATCGGGGGTATAAAGAGCGTGACTGCTTTTGATCTCACAGAGGAAAAAATGGTGTGTCAAAGTACAGCGGGTGAAACGAAGAAAAGGATAAGGAAAAGTGTGCCCAACAACAAAGAGACAAAGACTCTAGAGTTGTGTGGACTTAGTGGTCGGCAATGTCCTCGTCCATGCCTGGGTAGATGATATCTGCCACGTAGATGGCTTGGATGTGCTTGAAGAGGACAAAGGCCCACATGGTGATGACGGCAATGGACAAACCATTGCCGACGTACAGCACCGTTTCGTCTCTTAGCTGGTTGCCAATGGAGATGGTGGCAATGACGAAACCGGTGTTGGGGAAGACCATGGCCCACCATCCAAGATGGAAGTAGACGGCCCATGAGTTGATGACCTAGAAGTACTTGTTAGCGACACTTGCAAGTGTAGATGTTTTGTAGAGAGAGAAGAAAAAACACTTACGGCAATGAGAGTAATCATGAAGAACCACATGGCAAGAACCCAGAGGAAGAGTGCGACAACAAGCGCAAGCGTCCTAAGAAGCTTTGCGTCGATGAGGCCATCACCCTGGAGGTCAAAGTCGTCGGGAAGCGCATTGGCCATACCAATCAGAGCCAAGCACGTGAAAGAAGGCGGGCCGACAGCGATAAACATGGCACCTCTGTGTTCGCGATCCGGGTATCCGACCTGCATGAGACGACCAATGTAATGCGCATACATGAGGATGGCAACCGTAAAACCCAGACCCTGGCATCCCAAGCCAGCCACCAGAATAGGCATTCTGGCAGATACCGGCTGTTCCTTTGCGATGACCGATGCGATGGTACCAGCAAGCATAATAGGGAAGATGGGCAGGAGCCATGAAGGCATGAAACTGTTGAGCTTGTACGTGTGGCTGCAGAAGAGGAACGAGTACTGGAAGGACGCCAGGCAGAAGGTGATGAAGGTGTACGACCAGAATGCGACAGCCATGGTGGTGACGGCCCACGAGCGGTTGGGATGGTTGGCGTCGTACGACTCGATGACGTATTTCTGGGTTCCGGTGATGATGGTTGCGATGGACAGGAAGAAGGGGCCGAGGAAGAGACCTTCACGCTCGTGCGAGATGGAGGCCTTGAACGAACCCGCGTACTTGGTGAAGCGGAGGACCATGGTCATGGTGACACCGGTGAACAGGAGAAGGTTGAGGATGTAGAAGACGGCGCCAATGGTCTTGATGCCGGGGAAGGGATGCGGTTGGATGGCGATGAGCGTACCAAGACCACCAGTAGCCATGGTAAGAGTGTAGTTGGCCCATGTGTAATGCGCCAGCCTTTGACCGGGAGTGAGGTAGGGCTGGTTCGGGTCCTTCTTTCCGGGAATTTTGGTGTGCTTGTCCCATTCTCCGTGGCCATGTCCGTCGCCGTGCTTGAGTTTCTCGAGGTCAATGGTATCCATTTGAGGCGCGGGCTCATGAGCTGGATCCCGAAAGGGGTTTTCTGTCGGTCGGTGCAGCTCTTTTACGTCAACAGGGTAGCCATTAGCGTCCACTTGGGCGGGAAAGTATGCGTTGTTGGAGGCATAAAGGGGTGCTGGTGTTTGGACCCATGTGTTAGAGCGACTTGTCTCACCAGAAGGAAGGTAACCTTGGTTCTGGGGAGCAGCAAGAGGGGGAGGTGGGGATGAGTAGTGGTATGGGTTTGGAGGTGGTTGCTGTGGGGGTTGTTGATACTGTAGCACCTGTTGTGGTGGTGGTGGTGGTAGCTGTTGCTGTGCCTGTGGTTGTTGTAGCTGAGGAGGAGGAGACTGCATTCCTTGCTGAGGGCTTGGGTACTGAGAGTAGTTGTTCACGTCCTGGCTGTTCTGAGGAGAGTGTTGAGCTGATCGAGGCGCAGGCGGCATGCCATACTGCCCTTGGTTTGGTGGTGTTGCCATCCTAGGACCGCTGGGAAGGCCGTATGGGTTTGACTGACGGACTTGGGCGGGATATTGAGGCTGTTGTTGTTGTTGCTGGACGGGAAAGGATTGTTGTGGTTGTTGTTGCTGTGGTGGGTTGGATGTGAGGGGATTGGATGTGAGAGGATACTGGTCGTTGTTGTTGTAGGTATCCTTTTCGCCAAAGGATAGGCCTTCGGGCTGGTAACGGCTTTCCATTGCTGCAGTGAGTGAGTGTAGAGGTGGTGACCTGCACCGTGGAAGACAGGCAATCGGAAAAAGTCAGCGATAGTGGTGTGAGAGGCAAGGAAAACGAAACGTGTTGTAGCAAGAAGGAGTGGTAAGTAATAAGACGGCCCGTAGGAGTAGGCAGTGCTAGGGACTATAGCAATGTAGGAGCCAGGGCCGAACGAGCTCAACATAGGCTGGATGCTTCTACCATTCGGTCCTGTTTCGAACCACGCGCCGTCCGGGCACTAAAAGCAGCCGGCAGCTAGTCAAAGTGCCCCGAGTCGCCATGGTAGGATTTCAGACATGCTTGGCGTGGGTAGAGTGTTGCGTACGCCCTCCCTGGCA